TTATCAAATGTTGAACAGACAAACTACTTACTGCCAAATTTCTGCAACATTGCTAGAATTGCATTAGTTTGTTGCTGCTGTTGTTGTAACAATGCCAAATTCATGTTATTTCTTTCCTCATGCTCTTTCCTTCTCATTTCTAGTTCCTGTTCTCTAAGTTGCCTTTCCCATTTCAATTCATCTTTTTTAAGCTCCATCTCTTGCTTTCTCAATTCCAATTCACTTTCTTTTTGCTTTCCCTCCTGTTGAATTTTTTTTAATAAAGGCTATTGCATCAGCACCACTTGTCCTTTGTTTTTTATTGGGTTTTTCATCTGGGCTTCTTTCTTTTGTCTCTTTAAAAGTTTCCAAGGACACTCTTCTAACTTCTTGAATTTCAGCAGCCTCTTCTTCAGCTCTCCTCTTCTTTTCTACTTCAAATTTATCAGCCTCTTCAAACAAAGCAACAATATCTTCCATCAAATTATCCAATTCTGTGGGTTCTGGGGATATTCCGGAGGATTTTTCCTCTTCAGCAATTTTCTTTTTATACCTTCTCTCAAGAAGAAGATAACGATCCCTAATGGACCTCTGTGTTACTCTAAATGTTAATTCAGGATATGCACCCAAACTTGTTGCAAGGTTTGCCCAGATATCACCTCTTTCAGTAGTTCCTTTCTTGTAACGCCATGGCTCATACAAAGTCATTTCTTTTAAGAAATGCACGTCATGTGCTTCTGACCACTTCATAGGTGCAGTACTGAAAGAGTTTAACAATATTTCTCGCATTAAAAGTAAAACCTATATAGTATGTTGATTTAATATATTTTTTAAATATATCTTTCTTAAATACAAAAGATAGGGATCGAATTCTAGAGCGATTATTCAAATATAAGTGTACATATCGTGTACAAATTTAACATAAATCTATATAAATATGGTAAAAAATATGTATATGTTTGCACCTAGGTTTGTTTACATTATCAACATTTCCTGCCATGAATTTACATAATATAACAATCTGATTGATATTCTGTCGTGTTTTCTAAAACTATTGAACCATATGCACATAAAGATTGTTCATTTACCTGTTTTGCTTAGACATTTCGCTCTTTATGTGTCACGTTTTCGCACAACGTCAAAACATCCGAAGCGCCGTCGTCCTAGCTCGCGGCAACGTGACCTTTCAGCAATACGCATGCGCAGTATTGATATTTCTCGTCTGGCGTTCCCGTTGCCGTTGGCGTCATGCAATCGTAAGGTCCCTATTACTTAGAAGAAAACACCGATACCGTGACAAAGGAAGCCTTTGTCTTACCAGAAGAAGTAGATGAAAATACAGCAGACACAGTGGAAAAACTTGTGAAGTATTTTGCGAGTCAATGTGTAAATATTAACAGGGTAATCTAGGATAACTATTGCATAGTTTGTAAACTATTATTTTATATAGCTATGTTGTATATATATTGTTATCGTTCTATATTTACTAGGCAAAAACAATGAAAGGGGGAGTCGCTGCATCCGTGCCTCATGCGAGTAAAGAGTGTATTGAAGAAGCGGAAAAGGACAAATTAGACGTTTTTAGCCAGATTGGATCGATTTTGATTGATGTATTGGGGAAAAAAACACCTGAAGAGGTAAGTTTACATCCAATATTATACATGCAGTCTATATCCTAAAAATTGGCCCATACGCCCTATATATTACCAAATTTCTCCCGGCAAAAAATCACCCTTTGTATATATATATATTACTTGAAAATAGGGACTTAATGTTTTTCTCAAGGTCACCCGTTTAGTGAGGAAGACGTACTTGCAAGGCAGAGAGGCTCTTGCTTTTCGGTGGTCCAACTTAGGAAACGTGGGAATGGCAAAATCCGAGTTGTTTAGAAAATTAAATGCATTTAAAGACAAATGCAAAGTGTCCGATTCAAGGGAATTTCTTCAGGAAGATGGTACAATGAAAGGTGTGAGGTGCACAGTTGCGTTGACATCAGCGTTCCCAGAGAAAATATTAAAAGCATTAAAAAGAGGTACAACGAAATAATTGTTAAGCCCGATGTTGTGTGCATTTAATTGAACTAAATAATGACTGAAGAAGATTGTTTTTGGTAGAAAGGATTCCTTTTTACTCTCATTAGTAAATCCTAATCAGGCAAAAATTTTATTTTTTCAGTTATTCCAGATTTTCGTACCGAGCAAGATAACAAAGATGACGACAGCAGTTTAGAGGGAATTAATGACGATGGATCCAATGATTTAATAATAAATATTTCAGAAGTAGTCGCTCAGATGGATAACGCTAACAGCGATTCGAACGATCAAGTGAAAAAGCCCGAAGCCAGCAACCTGAAGAGTCAAACAACTGAAGAGTCCAACGATATTACCAATATTCCTGATGGCGGTTTGGGGAGTAATGCAGACGGCGAATCGAACGATGAAGTAAAAAAGCCTGAAGTCAATGACCTGAAGAGTAACACAACAAAAGTTACCACTATTCGACTATGCTGATATAATATGGGGCGATAAAAACAATTCTGAGCTTATGAATTCCCTACAAACCCTGGAAAATAAAGCAGCTAAATTGATTCTAGACCTCCCTCCTCTTTCGTCAGCAACAGAAGCACTCGCTACATTACACTGGTCAACACTCTCTTCTCGCAGATATAAACATCAATGTATCTTCATATACAAATGCACCAATGGACTGATCGATTTTGGCTTCAACCTAAGAACCAACAGAAGCGTCCATTCCCACAACACAAGGTCGTGTAACAACCTTCATCTTCCGAAAGTCAACACTAACTGGGGTAAACATAAACCTACATACCAAGCTTCTAAAGAATTCAACAACTTGAACGATTCCATCAGAAACTCTATCTCTCTGAGTCATTTTAAGTCGTCCCTGAAGTGACATTGACTGACACACTATATATAAATATTGTTAATTGCATGTCTCAATATGTTTTTTGTTTGTCTATGTCCATGTCCACGTCGTTGTCCTTGTCCTTTTTAATGTATGTGTGTGTCTATGTCTATGATTATTAGAAAACGTAGAACATTCATTCATATGTTGTTATGTGGTATTTTAAAATTGTATATATGATAGAAGTTACGTTTAAATTATTATATTAGTAATGTAATTGTATCATGCAGGACCCCACTGAAAAACACTATAAGGTGATGTGGGTATCCTGGTTAAATATAATAATAATAAAAGAGTCCAACGTTGTTACAAATATATCTGCTGGCACATGTTTACTAGATAGCGGAGTCTTAAATGATGCAGTCAGCAAAGCAGGAAGCAAAACAAAAACAACTAATACCAAAAGAAAAGTCGGAGGGAAAAGAAAAGCCTTAAAAAGACAATCTGAAATAAACACATTGAAGGACTCACTCTCTGTGAATGAGAAAATTCCAGAAGGAAAAAAGAGGCGAGATAAATAAATTAGCTAGTGGAAAAAATTCACTCTTATATTTCTCAAATTATCTTTAAAATTGATAGTAAGAACTTCATTTAATTATTCCTTAGTGTTTATTTTTGTAATATAATAAAGTTGGACAATTAAAAATTTTATAATTGAACCTGAATCAAATTTCCAGTGCGAATATAGTTATACACCTTTTCATTAAAACGTGGTATACGATCAAAAATAGGCAAAGCACTTTTCGGCGTTACAACAAAAGGTCTTTCGCAATACTAGCCCTCCATGCAGACAAAGACCTTTAGAAGTTATTCAAAGACCAAAACGTTTAACCGTTTTGTCAGCACATCTCAGTTAAGGCTAACAACCATTGAGCCAACTGAGGAGAGTACAACATTTGAAGTCGCTGTCAGTCTCGTATATATATAGCCCTTTGTATATAAGTTTTAATAAGAACGTATAATTTATATTGTAGATTCAAACGGGCTTAACTTTTCCACGGTTTTCTTAAAATTTTAGGTGGGACATTTTCACTGAAAAAAAGTTGCCCGTCTTGTATCTTTTTGCGTTTGATCCTAAAAGTTATCTTATCTATAAATAGGCTTGTTACGTTTCAATTATTCAATATTTGGTATTCAAAGGCGAAACTCAAAAATACAATAAATGGTCTGGTATACCAATACAGAAAAATCTGATGAACAGCTATTTGTATATCCAGGGCTACTTTTGCCTTTGAGCCTCGACATGACTAGGTAAGGCTTTTAACAATAACATAAACTTACAAAAATCAATCATGCATTCCGCGTAGCCTCTTCTCCTGGAGCTCAAGGAGTGAGGACATGCAGCATGCACCTCCTCCACCGCAGTCCGCAGGGGAGAACATTGCTAGTATTCGGATCTAAAATCAACTATAGACATGCACATTTCTAAAGGTGGCCACTTGATTAGGGCTTGCAAGAACCTGAACCCCAATATTAACAAATAAATTTAATTAATAGTACAGAATTTCATATATCTCAATAGCTTTCCTTGACAAATGACAACACTACACTCGATATGGTACGACAAGCCACTAATTGCCGCTTAACTGAAAAGGCGCTGGAATTGAAACCATAAAAAGTAGAAATGTATGCGTCATTGCATTGTAATTTCGCTGAATAAACCTTTTCGATTATCACCAAATATCATTGTTTTCAAATTAAGTCCGCTATCGTAAATGGCTTAAATTACCTAGATACCGGAAGTGGTTACTCCGATAGAATCAGGATGTTGCCCTTGAAAATGATACTGTGTCCAAATGCATTACCTAAGTGACATTGATATAAAAAATAGCTGTGCCTACTTCATATAGCAATTACCTGTTCATATAAAAAGGATGGTATTTCTAGACAGTTTAAAACTGTGTGCATAGGCCGTATTCTATGGCCAGTTTTCGTTTAGTTTCGCTGCCGTCGGTCGGGCACTAATTTTAATTTGCATAAACTTATAGATTTTTACACGCTGAGTAAGAATTCACTTGTTGTCACGCGTACAAACCTGCAGTTTTCTTGTATTTTGCGATCAAACAACAAGATTCTGCACTCCTTCGAAACTTAAATTCCGCCATTTTTGTTCGGGATACTTCATGTAATACACAGTTATTTTACTAGTGCAAGTCTCTAGCAGGCGAATTTCACGCGGTTGAAGGAAGGTTTATACATATGTCTTTGAATATTTTCAAAGATAAATGTACAAATTACATAAAAATAGTGCAAAATATGTTTACCGTATATTAGCACATTCTCATTAAAATTCATCGCTGCTGTCAAACTCCACATCCGTAGTTTCAATGTCTGTATCGTCCTCGTCGCAACTATCTCCCTCTTCACCAGCACTTGCTGCTACATTTACGCAGTCGACGCAAGAACATAGGTCCGTACAGATAAGGTTGGCTTTTTGGCAGGAACATCGTTTTGTTTTGCATCCGGTCTTGCAATGACAATAAACGCAATTAAGCAGAGAATCAGGGGCTGAAGGGCGTGTCATCCATACAATCTCTATTTCTCCATTAGAGAGTTGCCAACCATTACCGATTGGGGAAGGGATAACTAATTGCGCAGTCAAGCACCGAGACCATACGCCTGTTTGGTAATTCACTCGTTCAATGTGCTTAAGGAGGCTGTCGCACGTTGGTGGTAATACTTCATCCGAACATTTGCCTGCTTTAAACAATGTGTACCGACAGTCGTTGACGCTTGTGGATACTTTGTCTCCATATAACAGGCAAGTGAACTCGTTTAGTTCACTGACCAGGGCTTCGGTTGGAGGGAAATTGCTACCAAGCGTTGAAAATGTCTCAAAAAATCGAGGATTGTCAATGAGTGTTTTCCAGGCTTTAACTTTCCCTTTTCCGTAAAAAGAACTTGTGCAATCACTTCCTAAAAAAAGCCCAGTCAATAACGCTAGTATACAAACACGCCTAATATGCAGAATCTATAATACCCAAATCCCTAAGAAACGTTATTTGAGTAATGCACTCCATTATCTTATTACCTGAAAAGGCATGGAATCCTAGCAAACAGCGACAAAATTCTCTTCCCAAGGCGTTCGAAACTTCATTTACATGAATTGTTCGACATTTGCTTCCTGTGCCAGTCATCATGAACAGATCTTTCGATCCCAGACTTGATTGCATTGCGGTGCAAAGTAAGAAGACGTCTGTGTCTGGACTTTTGATGATTACTGCATCGTTGGTGTCCATTGCATGCTTGGCGTGTAGCAACAAACGAGTGTCTGCCTCCTCGTGATTGCTTTCTAGCGCACCACAATGCAAACTTAACACTGGATTGGATTCTGACGTACAACAGGAAAGTACAAAGCATTTCTCTTTGCAGGTAACATACATTGTTGAAACACCCGCCAACTGAGATGACTGGTACGTTCTCCAGTGTTCACTTAAAAACGACATCAGCGATTCCTTGTTTTCTCCGCAACTCATGAATTTTTTCCACTGCTTCGGAATTGGTTGATCTTTTCCAAAAATACGTATTCGTTGCACACCTTTTTCCGCTCTTCTACCTCTCTCAGTATTCTTTATACTTACAACTGGGTAACGATCCGCTACGAAATCCAACCTTGTGGCATTACATTGTCGCGCAAGTTTGATGAGAATTGCAAATATCGAATCGGCTAACTCTCCGAAAGTCTTCCATTTACCTAAATAGTGAGTTAGACGAAACAATTGCAAGAGTAATATCATTTGGGAACATTTCATAACCTAGTCTCCCAGTTCATTGTTATTAATGACGAAATCAGTAATTCTTCTGTTGATAAATACGTCAGGTGCTAGATGTGAAACAGCAGAGTTTTATGACTTACCCTTCATTACTTGAAGAACTGCCATGGCATCAACTATCAAAGCGTTGTTATGGAAATTACGAATGTCGACCTCAGGGTTTCCCGCTTTACTTTCTACGATCTCAAACAGCTTTGACTTCGCAGTTTTGACGAGACCTCCTGTTGGTGTTGCCAGAGAGAGTGGGTAAGCGCCAAGACTGTACGATAGGACTTCCTTCAAATCAATCTCACGACTTTTTGCGATGACCAAAAGCCGAGCAAAGAAATTTCTGTTCATTTTCGTGTTAATTTCTTTGCCCTTGCTCTCTTTGCCTGTTGTTTTTCTGCTCGATGAAAACGTCTGAAGCTTATTCCGTTCCAATTTTGCAAAGATGTCGGGCTCGTCGGAGAACAATTTTTTTCTTGAAAATTCTGCGAACTGCTTCTCACCAAGTTTCTCGGCATTTAATAGTTGGTCTGCGGCGATGGTTTCGAGCACCACCCCGCTTGCCAAACTTGTCAGCTCTTCTTGTTGTACTTCAAACGGATTTACCATTTGGGAAACGGTAGACATTACGTTATGTACTGATGTTTCATAGCGCCTGCATTTTGTCTCATCAAGGTCTTTTCGCTTTCTGCAAATTAAAATAGAATGCGAAATTGTAAAACGACAAGCTAGCAGAAATAAGTCGACTCAATTTGTTATGGCCAATATGAGAACCTTAAAATCGGGGCATGTCAGCCCCTTACATGTATGGTCAAAAGCGCAAAGATGAGTCTTTCGTACCTTGGCTTGCACTCCATTCCTGCCATGTATTTACATTTGTTTGTAATTGCCGCTCTCTCCGATTGTGATAATAACCACCTATGAACTGCTGCTCGATTCATCGAAAAGCCGATAAGACCCCCTTTAGTCTTGGAATCGCGATTTGCTGTCTGCTCAATGGTTTGATCGCAGGCAACAGCGGAAAAACCATAATTACTCTGGCGCTGTACAGCGAAATTGGATGATAAATCGGGCAAAATTCCTATAGAACAAATACGTATATTATTAACTTCGCATGCCAACTGTTTGCCAGAAGTTTGATAAACACTTTTGGTCGCAAAGAAAAGTCATTCAAATGCACGAAAAGTCTAAAACAAACCTGGATGAGTTCGCTCTAGCGACATCATCTCCAGCCAATACGCCGATCCGTACCTCGCATAATTAACTCTATCAGAGGCGAAAAACCATGGTATCATAGCACGGAATGCTGCTAAATGAAGTTTCCAGTTGATTTGTCTGGTGGCTCTGATAAACGTCAACAAAATTCCTATAAATTATTCGGCAAAAATACGAATTAGAAAACCGTGAGTACGTACATAACAGGGTTCATATTGTCATACATGTCGGCAGGGCTTATTTAAGGAAATATTTTTTTCAAATTCAATAACATTTTGGGACTTTTAAAGTTTGTACAAACCCTGACAAAAGTGCTTAGTAAATATCGATTTACTCTACCTATCACTTTGATGTACATGCTCCAAAAAGCAAATGTCCTTGACTTGTTGGATGCATCTTCTACAAAGCTTTCATACTCGTTGCAGATTTTTTCAAAAACTTCATTCTCAATATGCTCATGAAAATTCTGTTCAGGAAAGGAATCTGACATATCCCTAATAAAGCCCATAAATCTTTCTTCTTTTTCTTCGTCAAGGCTGTCCAGAAATGCATCGAAACGCAACCGTTGCATTGCTTCGTGTACAATCTTGTGGCAAAACACAGATCTATTGTAATGCTTCCCTGAAAGAACACCCTTGACAGATCCTTCTGTAACAACTCCAGACTCGATAAATATATCCTGTATGAAAAGAATATTTTATAAGCATTCAGGCGTTCATTAGGCAATTGAAATTTTTGTACAATTTACACTGAGCTTGTTACCTTTTGCAAACGGAAACGAAATACTAGTTGTGAAAATAGACCATGATAGAAAGTGGAATGATTTTGAACTGTATGAAAACGAATTACCTTAAGTCCTCCATCTTCAAAAATCTTTGAAACACCAGAAAGAAAAGACATGATAGTATGAAATTCGCCAAGACGCACAACAAATTTGTCATAGTAGGCGGGTTCTTTCCATCTAATATGCTGGACTTTTGAATACACTGCTTCATCAAAAACCAAGACGGCATATGTCAGGTGTAACGTTTCTGCAATATCCATGCTTCGCTTCAGGATTTCATTAATTGTGGAATATTCGGTTGGCGTTGCGTCAATAACTGGCAGGTAACCCACTCTTGATACATCGGGTATTTCGTCGTGAAGCATAGTGTTGAAACCAGTCCATCCGGGCATTGGTGTTTCATCATTAGCGCAAACCATTTTTGTTAAAACATAAGCCAAGTCAAGCTTCTGGGCTGTCTCATATGAACGTTCGTTGATATCTTCAGCGCTTTCACGGAACGTTGGCGTCACTTTTACTCTAAGATTGTATGGTGCTATTTCACTGGTTTGTATCTTTACCGTTCGTTGGGTTTTCTTGATCTCGACTGCATGCTGATGCTGTAACCTATCTTCACTTTGAACGGCCAACTTCTGTGTGATGATGCCATTTGTAACATGTGTTTGCTTTGTGATTTCTTCGCCAAAATCGATATTATCATAAACAAGGTTTACGTATTTGTTTGCAACAAATTCCTTTGGGATGATGTCAGACGTGTTCATAGTTGATTGTGCAAGAGCAGAATCGTAGGCCATTGTAGAAGACAGGGACACGCAATGTCCAAGACCATTCAAAATGTTGATTAGACTCGAACAACCAGAAATTTGCCTAACAGCCATCGCCAATGCCAGAGATTTGGGTGTTTGGGTTTTTCCCTTGCTGCTAACGTAGATCAGATCTTGGCAAATAGTAAAAACTTTTGCGGCGTTCTTTTCGTCTACTTCAACATATTCTGACACTTCTGGAATATCGGAAAACCCAAGGAGCCATGTCATGAAATTAAATAGAAGAGGCGATACTAATTTCGCAATACTTTCAACGGTGATGTCAGATGCGAGTGGAGGCCAGTTTTTATACCACTTCTGTGTGCTGCAACGTAGAATGTTTCTTAATGTAAGGGCAACGTTATAAATCTCTGTCAACGTCGCTGTTTTATCACACTGGTTCTTGATTTCGTCATGCAAGTCGTCGTCTTCAATGTCCATCTCAGTTTCCAAAGTTTGATTTTCGTCATCTAAGTAAGCTTCCGCTACAGCACCTTGACTCAAACTTTCGGCATACACAATCTCACTTTTTCTGCGCATTTTTGGAAGGTAGAAGACTAGTTCAGGAAACTTTACTTGCAGTCTTTTTTTCAAAAGGTATGTTCTATAGTGGGATGCATCAGTATCCTCAACCTGCGCAACAGTTTTGACGAATTCTTCTTTAATTTTGTTCATGAAATAGATGTTCCCATTGTTAATGATTTCTTTTTTTACAAAGTCTTCACAGAAGATGTCAAAGGAACTTTCGTATTTGCATGCGCATTTGTTACTGATACCAGTTTCCTCGGCATCGTCTGTCTTATCTGTATGTCTTAGAAAGTTTGTGTATCGTTCATAGCATCTCTTGTGGTATTTTACCTCCAATGCGACACAGTCCTTTTCTGCAATATGTAAAAGAATACTTTCGTCCGATTTTTTTGTAGCTGCTTCTCTCAGTTTCCCTCCGTCTATTGTTTCCGCGCTTACCAACTTGTCAAGCTTTCGTTTGCGAGTGTTCTAATAGCAATGAAATATAAAAGCTTTAAAAGCTATAAAAAGCGGACCACTGAAAATCACCTTCAAAATTAGTCAGGAGCTCCACGTTACTGAAACAATTTGACCAACTCTTACCATGGTGCTTTATCCACACGAGGAAAGGTGTTTCAGACTTCTTATAAGCACATTTTGAAAGAGCATTTTGTCTGATTTTTGCGAGGGTTTTTGCTGTTTTAATAAAAATGTTTAAAATTTAAATAAAAATATTTTACGTACCGTTTCAGTGACAAACGACTTTTCTTTTTTGCAAATAATACAAATAGGAGGAAGAACGTGCTTTGATTTTACCGAACTATTTGTTGTGTTGACTGTCGATCTCAGTACTTTTGTTGAAGTTTCCGTTACGTCTTCATCAATATTAAGTGGAAGAGTATTAGTTAGTGACAGTAACCGCGCTTTTTCGCACCGAATTTGCGCTCGTTTTATAATAGTTTTGTTTGTAAACTTGGAATAGCACTCTCTGTGATAAAAAAAATTTTGGCATTCTTCTTTGGCAACTGTGGTTGTTCTTTCAGCAATATCCTTCTGATTTCCGTCAAGTGTAAGCCAAATTTTTCTGCATTCAAGAAACGTATTATACGAAACTTCTGTGAAGTGTGTAAGAGGGCCGTTTTCACCATCAAAATGAATTAAACAATTTACCGACATCTTTTTAAGGTCTGCAAGTATCAGTGAACTTCACTGGCAAGTATTATCGCAACGCTGTTACTTCATGTAAAATTTAAATATAATTGAACAATTTGGGTACTAAATGACATATTACATGAAGTATCCCGAACAAAAATGGCGGAATTTAAGTTTCGAAGGAGTGCAGAATCTTGTTGTTTGATCGCAAAATACAAGAAAACTGCAGGTTTGTACGCGTGACAACAAGTGAATTCTTATTCAGCGTGTAAAAATCTATAAGTTTATGCAAATTAAAATTAGTGCCCGGCCGACGGCAGCGAAACTTGTTATCTAAGAGACTTTTGGGGTCACAGAATACGGCCTAGCAGTGTTGTTTCCACGGGAAACACGGAACGAGTGTCAGTATTTCACATGCAGTAATATTCTGTTTTCAATTAAATTGGAATTATTTTTACAATAACACTCATGGTACCAATAACACCTATAACACCAATAACGCCAATAACACCAACAACGCAAATAACACCAATAACGCCTATAACACTAATAACACCTATAACGCCAATAACACCAAAAACGCTCATAACACCAATAACGCCAATTTCACCAATAACGCTCATAACACCAATAACGCCAATAACACCTATAACGCCAATATAACACCAAAAACGCTTTTTCAAAACCGTGCAGCCCGAATCATAACCGGTGCGAGTTACGACGTTAGATCTGCTGATGTTCTTCAATCTCTTGATTGGGACAACTTAGAGACAAGACGACGTACTAGTAAATCAATACTAATATACAAAGTCTTGAACAACTACGTAGGTCCCACGTTGAAAGAAACCTTGATTAGACGCAATCAAATGCAAACTAACTATGAACTTAGAAATAGTCTTACAGATCAGGCTCTTCCTAAGCCTAAAAGAGAATTTTTAAAAAAGAACTTTAAATATAGTGGAGCTAAGTTATGGAATAGTCTCCCTATCAACACCAGACAGGCTGAGTCCATTCATGCATTCAAAAGCCAGCTGAAACGTAACTCCAACCTTACCAATATATTCTAACACATTTTAACTATAATATCTGGGGTCACACCAACTTGTACATAGTCCTTATTTCCCTATATTTTTGTAATTTTTAATCTTGTAGACGCCCCCCGTGGAAATCAGCTTATTGTTGTCGGGGCTAGTGTCTTTAAATAAAGTTTTACATACATACATACATACGCTCATAACACCAATAACGCCTATAACGCAAATAACGCCAATAACACCTATAACGCCAATAACACCAAAAACGCTCATAACACCAATAACGCCTATAACGCAAATAACGCAAATAACGCCTATAACGCCTATGACACCAATAACGCCAATAACGCCAATAACGCCAATAACACAAATAACACTAATAACGCCAATAACGCAAATAACACCAATAACGCCTAAAACGCCTATAACGCCAATAACACCAATAACGCTCATAACACCAATAACACCAATAACGCCTATAACGCCTATAACGCCTATAACACCAATAACACCAACAACGCAAATAACGCCAATAACACCAATAACGCTCATAACACCAATAACGCCTATAACACCAATAACGCCTATAACACCAATAACGCCTATAACACCAATAACGCCTATAACATCAATAACGCCTATAACGCCAATAACACCAATAACGCTCATAACACCAATAACACCAATAATGCCTAAAACGCCAATAACACCAATAACGCCTATAACGCCTATAACACCAATAACGCCTATAACACCAATAACGCCTATAACGCTCATAACACCTATAACGCCAATAACACCAATAACGCTCATAACACCAATAACGCCTATAACACCAATAACGCCTATAACACCAATAACGCCTATAACACCAATAACGCCTATAACACCAATAACGCCTATAACGCCTATAACACCAATAACGCCTATAACGCCAACAACACCTATAACACCAATAACGCCTATAACGCCTATAACACCAATAACGCCTATAACGCCAACAACACCTATAACGCCAATAATACCAATAACGCTCATAACACCAATAACACCTATAACGCCAATAACACCAATAACGCCAATAACACCAACAACGCCAATAACGCCTAAAACGCCAATAACACCAATAACGCTCATAACACCAATAACGCCTATAACGCAAATAACGCCTATAACGCCTATGACACCAATAACGCCAATAACGCCTATAACGCCAATAACGCCTATAACGCCTATAACGCCAATAACACAAATAACACCAATAACGCCAATAACGCAAATAACACCAATAACGCCAATAACGCCTAAAACGCCTATAACGCCAATAACACCAATAACGCTCATAACACCAATAACGCCTATAACACCAATAACGCCTATAACGCCTATAACACCAATAACACCAACAACGCAAATAACGCCAATAACGCCAATAACACCAATAACGCTCATAACACCAATAACGCCTATAACACCAATAACGCCTATAACACCAATAACGCCTATAACACCACTAACGCCTATAACATCAATAACGCCTATAACGCCAATAACACCAATAACGCTCATAACACCAATAACACCAATAATGCCTAAAACGCCAATAACACCAATAACGCCTATAACGCCTATAACACCAATAACGCCTATAACACCAATAACGCCTATAACGCTCATAACACCTATAACGCCAATAACACCAATAACGCTCATAACACCAATAACGCCTATAACACCAATAACGCCTATAACACCAATAACGCCTATAACACCAATAACGCCTATAACACCAATAACGCCTATAACACCAATAACGCCTATAACGCCAACAACACCTATAACGCCAATAATACCAATAACGCTCATAACACCAATAACACCTATAACGCCAATAACACCAATAACGCCAATAACACCAACAACGCCAATAACGCCTATAACACCTATAACGCACATATCGTCAATAACGTTTATAATGCATACGTATATATAGAGCTATAATATAATACCAGTGAAGTTTATATGACGTCATATAATGTATAGCTGATTACGTAATATTCATATATTCGTGCGCGAAACATAATGATATAACCAAAAATTGTCACTAAGAGAAATGACACACGGTTAAATAACCATCAACAGGTTCAGCCGCAAGGGTAGAGAGCTAACTGTGATATTCAAGTTGTCATTGACCACTATGCTTGTGTTGCATATCTCACCAAGTATGCTGCCAAAGGCGAACCAAGGTCACCTGTATTGAAACAATCATTCAATTCAATTATGCAAAATGTAGATAGTTGCACTGATCCTCGTTGTGCTATTAAGAAAGCTGTCATGAAATCTCTCTTGGTGAGAGAGATTATGCAGCTCAAGAAACAATGCATCATTTGTTGTCATTGAAACTGCATAGCTCATCATTTAATGTGATGCCAGTAAGTTTGAATGGTTCTTGTAAAGTACGAGATGTCACCAGTATTGAAGAAGGTGAATCCTGTACTGAACACTCACTCCTTGATGTGTATGCTAACCGACAACAATATAGTACTTCATCTGAAGTACACAATATGAACTTTGTTCAGTTTGTTACAACATACAAAGTTGTTAATGAGCATTGACAAAATTATCCCCCAATGTGATACCAACAATATTTCCAACATATTCTCCGAACCCGGAAGGTCCAAATTTTGGACTTTATTGCAAGTACCAACTCTTAAGGTACAAACCCTGGACAGGCACGCCCAATAATGCTTGGGGTGATCAAGAACCAACTGATGAGGTTCTCATTAATTGTTGGCATGAGTTTTTGCAAACAGCATATGGAAAAACCAATGTAGCAGACTGGTTTGACAAATTGCAAAATGTCATTTAAAGTCAAGAAGAAGATCATAATGAAACTCCTCAACAACAGGAAGTAACTCGTGAGGATTGGATGATACTATCTGACCTCAACACTCCTTTTGAAAACTCTGAGGAAACACAGCAGTCAACATATGACTGGCAGGCAGGCTGATTGAACCAGTTACACTGAACAACAAATCCATGAAATGCCAACATGGATAAAAACAAAGAAAGAGGACTACAGTGTCCCTGAACAATATGAGTCAGTAAATACTGACACTTTAAGTGAAATGCAAAATGTTGCAGACAACATTGTTGATTAATTATGTGACAAACAGCCATTGTGTCTGATTATAAACGGTGTTGCAGGACCGGTAAAAGCTACCTTATTAATGGCATTTGAAATCTTTTGCAAGGTAAATGTGCAGTGACTGCTACAACTGGTAAAGCTGCTTACAACATTA